CGTTCAATGGAGCGTTCGGAACCGGTTTCTTGGTCTGCAGTCTGTGGAGTTCGGCGATTGACTGAACCCTAATAGGAATCGTGTTTCTGTCGTGGCAGGAGGACTTCTCCCTCTCCCGGTGGACTTCTCCATCGTTATCTTCACCAATGTCGTGAACAAACAACTGAAGAAAAACACTTCCTAAAATTGAGATCCATGGTCTTCCGCATAGTCGACTAATACATGCATAAAAATGACCATATATATAACCCATGAATATACCGCCCAAAAATAAAAACCAAGAACGGACGGAGCTCCACAAATCGGAGACTCATCCGAAACCAAAGACATCCGAGAAAACAACCGAGGAGTACACGAGACCTTACCGACGCTTACCTACCTCGCCGTTGGCGAGTCGCCGCCGATCTGGGCTTCGCCGTAGCCGGGAAGCACCTCCGTCATCGGGATCCTTCTCTTTCGCCTCTCCGTTCGCCTTTTGGTTTTCCTCTCGCTCGAACATGCCTCGAGCCACGTGCCTCCCACATCGATAACACACCCGCATTAGGGTTACATTAACCCTTAGTCCAGAACGCTGCGTTTCGACCAAATGGGCCATGTTCCTTTTTCCGCCAAACGGGCCGCTGGGCCGAGCAGGCCCAACACATGAGAATAGAGATTTTATTTTTAACCTTCTTTTTAATATACAAACGTTTTTCTTTTTTAAACGATTTTCTTCCACTTGAATGTGAATATTGTTTATATTTGGTGATATTGTGAACATATATATATAATTGAAAGGAGAAATTTAGAGTGGCTTTGAATCTGAAACTGAAAATTTTAAAAATCCATACGGTCGTTGGAATTCTCATGAATTTCGACATTCTCTGTGTTGATGACTGTGATGCCGGTAACGTTTATTATACACAACAACATATACATTATTTCATTGTTTTGCTGTTAAAAAAAAGTGGGGAAATGGAAAAAAAAAATGCATAGTTTTCTCGGCTTTCTTGTAATCTGTCAGCTTCCGCCTGCAAGCTGCATTGCTGAGATTGCATGCCGCCTTTAATGCTTCCGTTTGTTTTTTCTCGTCCTCGCTGAAGGATGAATCGTACTCGATGAATTTGACAACAGGGCAAGAAAATCAATAGATGAGGAAAACCAAAAAGAAAATCAATAGATGAGAGGATATGATTGCGTTTAACACACGCAAGCGGGTATCAAAATAATTACCTTCTGAAATCGCATGGATTAATCCCATTTAAATAAGATGTTTGAATTAATTAGAAAAAGAGTATATAATAAATGTGATGTTAGTGGCTTCATATGACGTTGAGTTGGCAAGCGTTTTTGTTTTTGTTTTTGTTTTTTACGTTATTAAATATTCTCAAACATTTAACCAAAATAATATGAAGAGACAATATTTTCGGTTTAAATTTTCGATTAATAAATGGAAGGATCTCTTTGATATTGACATTTGATTTTGAAAATGGTTTTGGAATACAAAGAGATGCGCATAATATTAGGCCACTACCTCACAGGACACGTTACCACAAATTCACCTATTCAGATATATAATCAAATTACGTTACGCTTCCTAATTAATTATCTTACCATATTCCCATATTTAATCAATCTATATATGCTTCCTAATTAATTATCTTACCCTATTCCCATATTTAATCAATCCACCTATTCACATATGTAATCAAATTACGTTACCTTCCTAATTAATTTTCTTAATCTATTCCCATATTTAATCAATACCATTCTAATTAATTGTCTTAAAATATTATAATGCAATGAAAATTGAGAAATCTGTCAAATGGACGACGTGGCTTCACAATTTTTATTATTTTTATATTCAAATTAAATTGATAATTGTATATAGCTATAATATTTAAAAAATATTTTTCAATAGAAATTACTAAAATCAAATTGAATTTTTATATAATAAAACTGTTTTTTTAAAAACTATAATAATACGATGACAGGTTTTTGTGATATGTGATCACTAATGTTTCCAAAAAAACCTATTTTCATTTATAATATTTAATACTCTAATCAAATAACTAATGATGATAGTAATAATCAATAAATAAATGCCAAATGTAATTGATGATGTGGATATTGACGTGGCTTCATGAGAAACCTTCAAACACAACTTTTAATATATATAGATTTTGGTACTTAAGAAAATATTAATTTGAGATATGTATTCATATTTAAAAATAATAATTAAATCAAAATATTTATTATTTGAAAAGTGGGAGTGGTTTTTCCAGGTTTTCGAAGTTAAAAATCTAAAAAAATCTCCGGTTATGATTTTTTAATTTCATTTTTTCTAAAAATTTGGAAAACCAATTTTTTAAGAAACTAACGTAAAAACCAAAAATCACTCTTTTATAGATTTTTAAAGATTTTTAATTAGACTTCTTTATTTTTATTAAAAAAATAATTATATTAATTATTTTAAAGATAAAAAACTCATTGTTTTAAAAATAATTTCACATTATACTTATGTATATATAAAGAGTATATTTTTATAATTTTTACCATAACTCTTTTTTAAAAAAAAAAGTTTTATAATTTAAGATATATAATTCAAATTTTATTATTCAAAATATATATGGTAGGCATCTTATATCGTTATTACTAGTATTAATAAATATGATTTTTATTTTAATACTAAAAATATTTTTTAGTAACTTTAAATAGGGTAAAACCCCTAAAAAACCTCCAACTTGCAAAAATATATACAAATAAACCTTCAACTTGAAAAACTGTCATTCAATCCCCGAACTTGTAACTTGTCACTGAATAAAACCTCGAACTTGCAAATTATTGCTCTAATAAACCTTTGACCGGTTTGACCACAATTTCAGGCGATCGAAAATCCATATATTAACGGATTGCTGATGTCACCTTATACACGTTATCAATTTTAATTTAAAAAATGACATCAGCAATCCGTCAATACGTGGATTTCCGATCGTTTGAAATTGTGGTCAAACCGGTCAAATGTTTATTAGAACAATAATTTGCAAATTCGAGGTTTTATTCAATGATAAGTTACAAGTTCGGAGATTGAATGACAGTTTTTCAAGTTGAAGGTTTATTTGTATATATTTTTGCAAGTTGGAGGTTTTTTAGGGGTTTTACCCTTTTAAATATAAAATCTAAAATCTAAATCTAAAATATTATTTCTATCAATCAAGTTTTCTAAAAACTGTTAAAACTATAAAAGCCAAAAATCAAAAACTAAAAAACAAAAACCAAAAACAAAAACCAAAAACCCAAAATAAAAACTATTAACAATGCCATAATAATAAACATGACCATTTGGTAGATAATCCAAGAATATATACACGTATTTAAATATGAAAAATAAATTAGAGAGGGTATAATTGCCATGGATAAATCTGAGAACATTCAAATGAAGGGAAGCTGCATCTCATTTTTTTTTCCCTACCATACTTAATATTTTTTATAATAAAATTATCTCAATAATGTTGATGTGATGGTAATTTATTGGACCATTTAGCTTAAGTTTCTATATTTTTCTTTCACTTTTATATGTTTTAAGAATCGTTATATAATTTAATTAATATTTGTATGTCCCCTTTCCATTTCATTAATATTTGTATTTCCTTATTCTTCAGTGTCGCAATTTCCATTTTCTTCGTACATATATCGATACATATTACATACAACATATGATACTTGCAAATAATTTTATATTTATCTGCTAACACCCATAATCATCAAAACTCGATATCTACGAATATAGATTTTCAATAATATTTATATCATTTCGATTTATTTTGTTTTGGTTTCATGTGATTTTTATCTCTAATTTGTCTTACTTCAAATCTAGTTTGTATCGTAGAAACAGAAAAATTCACTTGAACGAGAATATTTATAGATTTGTTTGACAGAAAATAAAATCTAAGAACACTATCAAATTATCCCAACATGTAAAGCCTTTGTCCGGATCAGATTAAGATTCTTGGTATATTTTCAAAGTCTATATATTTTACAAAAATTTAAAGTTTGTATCTGTATGAAGTTTTTTAAAAGTTTAATGATTATTTTGGCGATTTTTCCAAAAAAAAAAAATTTTAAAAAAAATTAATCACTATTATCTCAAGAAATTGATATGTATTTGGGCCTAGATTAGCCCAAAGCAAGGCCTTGCTTTCTCATTAACACTGAAAAATGTCTCTTATCATTATTTTTCCTCAACAATAAAATATTCTTGGCAAAATCCCAACAAAAAAACCACTAAACTTTACAATTTTGACCAAAAAAAATACTGAACTTTATTTTTTATCAAATAAAGATTAATTTTTTTACAAAAACACTGAACTTTTTAAATGATCTAAAAAAACAAATGAACTTTTCTACGATTATAAAAAAACACTGAAATTTTTTAGTGATCCAAAAAAAATATATGAACTTTTTTTTATTGTAATCGAATATGACTTCAAGACGTGACGAAATATTTTTTTAAAAGCGTTATTCCATCTTTACCGGGTAATTTGAATAATTTGATAGTGTTCTTAGACTTTATTTTCTGTAATGTTCTCGTTATTGTTTTTTAATTAATCATTATTATCAAGGAATTGATGAGTATTTGGGCCTAGATTAGCCCAAAGTAAGGCCTTGTTTTTTCATAACACTAAAAAAATGTCCCTTATCTTATTTCTTAACAACAATAAAATATTATTTTAAATGATACGTCATTTTCTTAATATGCTTATACTCATTTACCAGTCATATCCCGCCAAATTAATCAAAGTTGATTTTTTTACCTTTTTTGGCTCGACTTTTTCCACATAGCTTCTTATAGAATTTTAATTAATTTTCATAGATTTCTTTCTATATTAAGAGTATTTTTTTTTTAATTTATCTATAATGAAATAGTTAGAAAAACATATGCCAATTTAATTATCACCTACCAACCACTCTATAAATACAATTGAAGCGAAACTCCACAACTTGATATACTGAAACTTGTAGCAGTTGTCATCAACAAACCTCTCTTTTCCTACACAAAAATGGCGAAAAGTAATTTGAAATTTGTATTCGTGGTCTCCCTTTTAATGGCCGCCTTTTGTAAGTGTATCATCTACAAATTGATTCAAAAGCAAGTTCATTTTATAGTAATAATGCCATGTTTTATGTCTCGTGCAGATATTTCAGTGTCTGAAGGCGGCGGTGGGAACCACCATTGCATACCGGAACACCCCGGTTGCGGCCACGGCGGTGAGGACAATGCGATGGAAATGGAATATCATTGCAAACGTAATACCGATTGTGTGCATTTGTGTGGGTTCAGGTGGGGTCGTTGCGTTCATGGAAGTTGTCGTTGCTTCAACGCCTAAACTTTCGTCACCGTGTTTTGGTTTTGTTAATAAGTGGAGAATAAATAAAATATGTGACTTTTATATATATATATATATATATCCGTTAAAAAGAGTAATTTTGTTTTCATATCCACCAGCAGACTGCAGTTACCGTCCAACCCTATCTCCCATTCCCCATTTTTTTTGTTAAAGAGGGTTGCAAAAAAAAAATCTATTATAAACATTAATATAACTAGATTGGGTCTTCATTCTCTTTGGTTTGCATTCATCGCTTGTCTCCATTCGTGTGTGATAATCAAGCTTCCTCTTCTAACAGGTAAACATTTGGGTGTTTCATCTCTTCCTTTCTCTCTCTTTTACAAATTTTATGTCTCTCTCTATAGGAAGATATTACTTTTTTCCCCGACGGCGGTGTTCATCACCGTCAACCCTAGCCGATGTGCTATTTTTTTTTAACGACGATGTTCGTTTATCGACATCAACCCTAGCCGTTGTGAGATCTTTAAATCTGGCTTTTAGCTCTTTCGATTGGAAAACTCCGATCGTCGATCCACTTATTTGCATCATTTTTTTTCTTCTATCTTACTCCGCTGCTACACTATCACGCATTATGCGTCGCACTTTTGCACCCATTTTTTTTCTCTCCGGCCTAACCGCTATATACACTGCAATTTTTTGCAGTGCCGACTTCATTGTCGTGCAACCCAATTCACGCATACGCGTCGCACTTTCGTGCCATATTAGCCTCTGAGAATACAACTCTCAAGCTCTTCAAACGTTATCAAGCAACACCGACTCAAGTCTGAACTACACCACCACATGGAAGATGATTCGTTTAATACGATCACAATTTCAGTTTTCAGTTTTTATGTAACAAGATTGAATTCATCATAGATGATTCATCTTGAGGGGGCATATAGGAAGATATTATTATTAGAATATTATTATTGATATGATTATGATTTACCCTAGATATTATGTCTACAATATTCTATTGTATTTTGCTATATATTATGATGTATTTTTCTCATTATCAATAATAGAAAAACATTTCCGAATTACTCTCTCTCTAATTTTTACAGATTTCTTTACTTTCTCTTATACAATTTGGGGTTTTGTTGCCATTCACACAAATTAGTGTTTCTTGATCCAATTTTAAGTAATATATCAATTAATCAGGATATTTTTTTCGTTAACTTGTAGAGATGATTTATAACTCTGATGAACGTTCTTCTTGGTCAATGAGACCGCGGAAGACTAATTTCACGATAGACATCAAAAAGAGAAAAGAATCCTGGAAGAATTTTTTTTAGTTGTCTATCTCAAGAGGTTCGTGTTTGTTTCGACAATATATATTTGTTATAAGTCATTCACAATTGCGTAAGATATGTTTTATGCCAGAAAATGACGTTACCCTCAAGACTACCTCATGCTTCTTCTCTTTCTCCATTTCCCAACAACGATAGAGCAAAATAATGTCAAAGCTTAGGGACTTATCTTTCCAAAAATAAAATCTAGAGATGTAATTCGACGAGAATCTAACTAATGACCCAACGAAGCAATTGAATCGCCTTGTCGTTGGAAGAAGAAGAAAAGAAACCAAAAAGAGACGATGATTGCAGAAATTTTCGAGAGGTACGGTTTGTAGATTTAGGAATTTCAAAAATAAAATCTAAATGGTAATTCTTTAAGGGATTAGTTGGGTAATTTAATTTATTAAACCCATAGTTTTATTGGGTTAAAACCCATTAAACCCATAAAATAAAAGTAACCTCAATTATAATTAGTAATAGGTTGAGTTGTGTGATATCCAGAGCTACGATGAGGGTTGGAAGTATTCGTCGGTACGATGGTGCGATCAAGGAGTGGCTCTCCGAGTACCATTAAAACCAAAGGGATATAATAATGAATCGAACGCACCCGAATGAGAGAGATCCGACGGCTTTATGGGTATGAGACTATACGGTCTAAGATAACATAAAAGAATTAGTCGGGTTACTCATAGCAACAAGGTGCATCTATCTTTTCGGTTGACTATCCCAAAAGAACTCTAAAGTTAAACGTGCTGACTCTGGAGCAATTTCAAGATGGGTGACCCACTATCTCGATATGCGTGCGAATGAGTACAAAATACGCTGGAAGATCTAGTATTGCTGTGTGAGGGCAGTTTCGACATTTCATAACGGACGTGGGTATTGTGTTGCCCAACCCATGGTCCAAAAAAATATTCTATATCAAAAAATACTACTTAATCAGAAAGAGAAAGAGAAAAGGAAACATGTTCCTCAAAAAATTTACCAAATTAGAGATATTTTTATCTTTTACACATTTTTTAATTTTTTCGTTTGATTTTTGGATTTGATTTTTTTTACATATTACCAATTCAGCAAAGACTATGACTATGAGTTAGGATAGAATCTCCTCTAGATTTATACAGAAACATCAGTCACATCTTTTTTTTTTAGTGAAATGATATCTTTTTTTAGTGAAAACAACTAGAATTATGGCATAATCAGATCCGCCTAATGCAGAATCAGATCCGTTTGATTTGCAAACATTCCATTTTTCTCTCTTTTTATTTTCCATTTTGTGGTTGTTGCACTATATATTTCTCGATCAGACTGATTTTTTACCTTTGTTGGCTCAACTTTTTCCGTATGATTTATTTTTATAGAATTTTGATTATTTTTTTACAGATTTCTTTATATATTAAGAATATCTTTCTTTGGTCGATTTGGAAAGATTTATATATATTGAAATAGTTAGAAAAAAATATATGTGAATTTAGTTATCACCGACCACTCTATAAATACAATCGAAGAGAACAAAATTTCTAATAACCTCCCTAAAACTCAAACCTCTCTTCTCCAACACAAAATGGCGAAAAGCACTTTGAAATTTGCATTCATGCTCTCCCTTTTCATCGCCGCCTTTTGTAAGTGTATCATCTAAAATTCATTTGTAGGTGTTTCAATAATATATAACGCCATGTTTTGTGTCTCGTGCAGACATTTCGGTGTCCGAAGCGAGGGAGATGAAGGAAGAAACCAGTCGTAACTGTGCCAATGGAGCTTGTCTCCCCGGCAGTGGGGACGTTGGGCTGGAGACGGTATATAAATGCAAAACTGATGATGAGTGTGTGCGTAAATGTGGGTTCAACTTTGGTTTTTGTATTGCTGGATTCTGTCGTTGCACCGACGTCTAAAACAAGAACCATTAAAAGATGAATAAATTAATAAGTGTTTTTTTCATACCCACCTGCAGTTATCGTTATGGAATATGTAATACTCCGCTCTAATCTATAGGGTTTTGTTCCTCAGTTGGATCTCTTTGTTGTTAAGAAGATTGTCAAAAAAAAAAAAAACTATTATGTGTTAGAGATATATCAGATGTTATAAAATATTACGAGATATATGTTGAAAAATATTATGAGATATGTTGTATAATGCAGATCTTATCAAATCTAAAATTATATATTTAGAAATATTTATTATTATATTTAGTTTACTTATTTAATATAATACTCTCATTTATTAAAAGATACCATTTCACAAATTTCTCTATTACAATTAGATTTACTTTTCATAATAACCTAGTTAAAGGAATCATCAATACGTGTATTAAAAATTATGTAAAAAAAAAAAGAAAAACATAGTCCTCTAAAAATTTGCCAAATTAGAGATATTTATTGTCTTTACTCGTCCTTTTATTTTTATCTTTTTCTTTTTGGATTTAAAAGGTATGAAGATATTACCATAGCATCAAAAAAATTCATACACTGCACTCAAACCGAAACAAACAAAAGGCAGAAGATTAAACAAAAGAAACGTGCATGATCGTTAACAGCGAAACAGAAACAGACAGAACTTAGAATCCACACACAGATGTCTGAAACAATTCACAGGCAACACATACACAGGAGAGGGCAAAAGGAAATTCTACAACAGTCTTTAGCATCTCATCGCATACGTCTTCCCAAGAAAACATCACGTGCACAAAACAAAAGGGAATTCTACTCTTGGGTCTAAAAAGATCATTTGAGAGCCATGCATGTCTTATCATGATATCGAAGATAAAAAAACAGAGGATGAACAACAAAATCAATTTTAGCTAAAATATACTTCTTAAGAACCTAACTGAGTAGCATAACTAACAATCTTCCTCGGAGATTATCTCAAACAGACAAAGCCAAAAACTACCAAACAAAGATAAACGACTCCGTAAGAGCAAAATATGATAGTTAAGATGATGTGCCAATAAAATCAAAGCAAGTACATATACAGCAAAAACCCTAACCACACAATCTGAGAAAGTGAGAGAGAACTGTCTCAAGAACTTAATCAAAAACTTAACGAAGGAGAAAAAGAGAAGGTACCATGGAGTCAGCGATGTGTTTCAGCAAACTTCTGTGGGGTCGGTGTGGGAGCGAAACTCCTCAACACAACGTACTTCGTGATGTCGCTAGCATTTTTCTACTGGATAAACTGCATGAACTGAACAAGAACCATAACAGAAGAATCTAAAACAACTATAAAAGAAGACCCATTTATTATCAGAGATATGATACCAACAAAGTTGAATATAAGAGAAGACCCATTTATTATTCTGAGTCCCGTTTGTATTTTCCAAAGATATGATACCAGCTTCAGTGCGCTTCGATTCTGACCTTAACTCATTGGATAAGCATCTCCCATAGCTCATCGACGCCGACCCAATTGACTTTTTCCTGCCTATTTTCCAACAAAATTTCCAATTTTGACTTTTTTTAAAAAAAAAATAGAGGATTGCCCATTTTCCAATACATTACTCTTCGGAGACCTCAACAAGAAAATCCACCATTCAAGATCGTCCCAACGTAGTAAATGTCAGTCCATTTGAAACAAAACTAACCATATAGATATCAAAATCTAATTACATTTCCAAGGAAAATCTAGAAAATGTTGACAAGTCTATTTAAAGGAGAATTCATGGGTTTAGGGTATACAGATCCTTAATCAACATGAGAAGGATATTCGCTTAACACTACAAAAAAATAGTTATATAGCGACGGAAAAATCCGTCGCAAATATAAAGGAAATCCGTCGCAATTAAGAATTTGCGACGGAATGCGACGGATTTATTTCCGTCGGTATAGCGCTGTCGCAAACGTATAACGGTCGTTAATCCGTCGTATTTTTGCGACGGAAAAAATATGCGTTTTGCGACGGAAAGTGACGGATAATTCCGTCGCAATTTGCGACGGATTTTTTTCCGTCGCATTCCGTAAAATCCGTCGCATTCCGTCGCAAATGTTTTAAAAAATTTTAAAAAAATATAAAAAAATTATATACTATATATACACATACATATATACATTTTCACATATACATACATTCATACACATACATTACATACATACAAATATACATACATATACATACATATATATACACATATTTTCATATACACAAACACACATACACATACATTACATACATACAAATATATATACATATATTTTCATATACACAAACACACATACACATTCACACATATACACATATACATATATATACACATACATAAATATTCATACATACACATTTCACAAACACATACACATACATATAAACACACACATATACACATATTCATATACACATACAATCACATATACATACACATACATATTCATATTCACATATATATACACATACACATACATATAAACACACACATACACATTCACTTACACACATATATAAATACACACATACACATTCACACATATATATACACATTCACTTACACACACATACACATACATAAACATATACAAACACATCAAACACACACATATATATACATAAATACATATATATTACCTTATGGGAGAAATTTGGCGATCTTTGGAGAGATTTAGAAAAAATTTGGCGATTTTTATTTTTTTCCGAAAATCTTTGAATCTGACGAAGAAGACGACTCGTGGTTTTATATTGCGTTTTGCGACGGAATTTTCCGTCGCAATCCGTCACAAAATGAAATTTATTTACGCGCCCAAAATTCAAAAAATTTCGTCGAAAACCGAAACCAAATACATTGCGACGGAATATTCTGTCGCAATCCATCGCAATTTTTATTTTCCGTCGCAAATCATCTATTTCTTTGTTGTGACAAAATTATCCGTTGCAAACCGTAGCAAATTGCGACGGATTTTGCGACTGTTTGCGACGGATAATTTTTTTCCACGTTCTGTCGTAAAATCGTCATATTTCGTCGCAATTTTCTGTGCGACGGAAATTTATGTCGCAAATTCTGTCACTATATACAGGTTTTTTTGTAGTGTAATATCCTGAGATCCCCGTAAATGTAAGAGTTTAACATTCAAAACTCAAGACGTGTCTGATGTAAACGTAGGTTTTCAACGTCATTGGGATAAAATTTAACATATGAATTCAAGCATATTTTCAAAATTAAACAGTAGGTAGACCCATACCTCTTGAAATCTCATGAAACTCATCGACTGCGACTCGATTGTCTTCTCGTACCCATTCCCCAGTACATTTCTCTTTGGAAGTCTCAACATGAAATTCTGACACCAAAATCGTCCTTATTAGAGAAGGGCAATACAAATAAAACTCAACCAAGCACATAAATTTCGAATTAAGATGCATAATCAAGGAAAATCTAGCAAATGTTGACTACAAGACTACTTAGGGGAATGATTCATGGGTTTATTCACCAACATGAGAAGGGTATTCGCTTGATATCCTGAAATTCCTAAAGCTATATGAAAACATCAACTCAAAGGGATAAGCAGACTTAGCTTGACAAGGTCATTGTTGGGACAAAATGTAACTTAGCGAACGTCATAATTCAAGCAGCCTTTCAAAACTAAACCTACTTAAACAGTAGGTGAACGATACCTTTTCAGATCTCCTGAAATAGATTGGCAGCGACCCGATTGTCTTCTCCAGCCAACTGAGCCAAATATCCAGTGCAATGCTCGTGCTCTTCTTCAGAAACCTAGCAATGAAAACCTGCCTCTAAAGATCCCGAGGATCTCAAGTTCGTCCTGGTGTAGAAAAGGTCCAAATCAAGCTCAACTAAATACATAGAATTCAAATCTAATTACCTTTTCCAGGAAGACAATCGGGTCGCTGCCAATCTATTTCGGGAGATCTGAAAAGGTATCGTTCAACTACTGTTTAAGTAGGTTTAGTTTTGAAAGTCTGCTTGAATTCTGATGTTCGCTAAGTTACATTTTGTCCCAACAATGGCCTTGTCAAGCTATGTCAAGCTAAGTCTGCTTATTCATCTGAGTTGATGTTTTCATATAGCTTTAGGAATTTCAGGATATCAAGCGAATACCCTTCTCATGTTGGTCAATAAACCCATCATTTGCTAGATTTTCCTTGATTAGGCATCTTAATTTGAAATTTATGTGCTTGGTTGAGTTTTATTTGTATTGCCCTTCTCTAATAAGGACGATCTTTAGCGTCAGAATTTCATGTTAAGGCTTCCAAAGAGAACTGTACCGGGGAATGGGTAGGAGAAGACAATCATGACAGTCGATGAGTTTCATGAGATTTCAAGAGGTATGGGTCTACCTACTGTTTAATTTTGAAAATATGTTTGAATTCATATGTTAAATTTTATCCCAATGACGTTGAAAACCTACATTTACATCAGGCACGTCTTGAGTTGTGAATGTTAAACTCTTACATTTACGGGAATCTCAGGATATTAAGCGAATATCCTTCTCATGTTGATCAAGGATCTGTATACCCTAAACCCATGAATGCTCCTTTAAACAGACTTGTCAACATTTTCTAGATTTCCCTTGAAAATGTAATTGGATTTTGATATCTATATGGTTAGTTTTGTTTCAAGTGGACTGACATTTACTACGTTAGGACGATTTTGAATGGTGGATTTTCTTGTTGAGGTCTCCGAAGAGTAATGTATTGGAAAATGGGGAATCCTCTATTTTTTTAAAAAAAAATAAAAATTGAAAATTTTGTTGGAAAATATGCAGGAAAAGTCAATTGCGTCGGCGTCGATGAGCTATGGGAGATGTTTATCCAATGAGTTAAGGTCAGAATCGAAGCGCACTGAAGCTGGTATCATATATTTGGAAAATACAAACGGGACTCAGAATAATAAATGGGTCTTCTCTTATATTCAACTCTGTTGGTATCATATCTCTGATATTAAATGGGTCTCCTTTTGTAGTTGTTTAGATTCTTCCGATATGGCTCTTATTCAGTTCATGCAGTTTATCCAGTAGGAAAATGCTAGCGACATCACGAAGTACGTTGGGTTGAGGAGTTTCGCTCCCACACCGACCCCACAGAAGTTTGCTGAAACACATCAACGACTCCGTGGTACCTTCTCTTTTTCTCCTTCGTTAAATTCTTGAGACAGTACTCTCTCACTTTCTTAGATTGTGTGGTTAGGGTTTTTGCTGTATATATACTTGCTTTGATTTTATTGGCATATCATCTTAACTATCATATTTGTTTTGGTTTTTTATTATACTGAGCTCGAAGTTTGAGGATGAAATAAGGCTAGAATTGAAGCGTACAGAAGCTGATATCATATCCATGGAAAATACAAACGGGACTTCTAATGATAATTGGTTCTTGTCTTATATCCAACTCTGTCGGTATCATATCTCTGATATTAGATTTTATTTTTGTTAATCCATTGTTACTTGATTAATGAAATGCTTTCCTCCACCTCCTTCACGATATCTTCTGCTTACTTTCGAACAAACTTAACTATGAATCATTCCCCTGAATATTCATCAGGTGGTAAGGGCAATGAGAAGGTTTGACCATGCTTGGGGAAACAATCATATATATGCTGCCTATTCACTGTTTGTACATTTGCTAGGTTTTCCTGGAAAAAGGTAATTAGATTTGAAATCTATGTATTTAGTTGAGCTTGATTTGGACCTTTTCTACACCAGGACGAACTTGAGATCCTCGGGATCTTTAGAGGCAGGTTTTCATTGCTAGGTTTCTGAAGAAGAGCACGAGCATTGCACTGGATACTTGGCTCAGTTGGCTGGAGAAGACAATTGGGTCGCTGCCAATCTATTTCGGGAGATCTGAAAAGGTATCGTTCACCTACTGTTTAAGTAGGTTTAGTTTTGAAAGTCTGCTTGAATTCTGATGTTCCCTAAGTTACATTTCGTCCCAACAATGACCTTGTCAAACTAAGTCTGCTTATCCCTCTGAGTTGATGTTTTCATATAGCTTTAGGAATTTCAGGATATCAAGCGAATACCCTTCTCATGTTGGTCAATAAACCCATTAATCATTCCCCTAAGTAGTCTTGCAATCAACATTTGCTAGATTTTCCTTGATTAGGCATCTTAATTCGAAATTTATGTGCTTGGTTGAGTTTTATTTGTATTGCCCTTCTCTAATAAGGACGATCTTTAGAGTCCGAATTTCATGTTGAAGCTTCCAAAGAGAACTGTACCGGGGAATGGATAGAAGAAGACAATCGGGTCGCAGCCGATGAGTTTCATGAGATTTCAAGAGGTATGGATCTATCTACTGTTTAATTTTGAAAATATGCTTGAATTCATATGTTAAATTTTATCCCAATGACGTTGAAAACCTACGTTTACATCAGGCACGTCTTGAGTTGTGAATGTTACACTCTTACATTTACGGGAATCTCAGGATATTAAGCGAATATCCTTCTCATGTTGATCAAGGATCTATATACCCTAAACCCATAAATTCTCCTTTAAATAGACTTGTCAACATTTTCTAGATTTTCCTTGAAAATATAATTGGATTTTGATATCTATATGGTTAGTTTTGTTTCAAATGGACTGATATTTACTACGTTAGGACGATCTTGAATGGTGGATTTTCTTGTTGAGGTCTCCGAAGAGTACTGTAATCCTCTATTTTTTTAAAAAAAAATTCAAAATTGGAAATTTTGTTGAAAAATAGGTAGGAAAAGTCAATCGGGTCGGCATCGATGAACTATGGGAGATGCTTATCCAATGAGTTAAGAAAGTGGTAAATCAAATCGACAAACAGTGTAAAAAAATACTCATTTATTTTGCTTCATAGTATAAAGGTTTTCATTGGAAAAACAGAAAAACATTTCCTTACTCAAAACAATGGTCAATAATTTTTTTTTTAATTATATCTCATGCAAGTAAGCGATCAAATTCAGAAATTTCCGACAGATGTTTTTTCATACTCAGAGATGGATGAACAACATAATCTATTTGCGTCTAAATTATACTTCTTAAGAACCTAATTAAGTAATATAACTAAAACAGTTCCTTGGAGATTATCTCAAACCAACAGAGCCAAAATCTACCAAACAAAGATAAACGACTCCATAAACACAAAATGTGATAGTTAAGATGATGTGCCAATAGAATCAAAGCAAGTAACTACACAACAAAAACCCTAACCACGCAAAGTGAGAAAGAGAGAGTGCATTGTCTCAAGAATTCAACGAAGGAGAAAAAGAGAAGGTACCATGGAGTCGGCGCTGTGTCTCAGCGAACTTCTATGGTGTCGGCGCGGGAGCGAAACACCTCAACCCGACGCACGTGGTGATGTCGCGAGCATTTTCCTACTGGATAAGCTGTAAGAACTGAACAAGAATCTTATCGGAAGAAACTAAAACAATACGAGGAAGAATCGAAGGAGTTCTGGTTTCAGATGTTCAACAAATAGCGACAGACCGGTGATGGAACAGAAAATTTCAAAATCCCCAGAAAGATTCAGGAACAATTCGAATCGAGGATTTTTCTACTGGGTAAACTGCAAGAACCATCAATGAAAGAGAAACCCTAACAGAAATGAGTGAAACCATATCGGAAG